CGCATAACAATCCATCCTGAGCTATCCTCGAGGCCCGGCATAACGAGAGGACGCTTCACATGACCATCTCCTCGTCGCCATAACCACCCTGCAGCCCATACTCTCGTGCATATGCGTATGCTCCGTAAGTGTTCTCCATGTCAGCTACGCTGCCCACATTCTTCTGCCAGAGGCCGTTGCTGCCAGTGTTGTTGTAGACTGGGTCGGTGGCCTGGTTGTACTTGGTCGATTCCTTCATCGCATTTTCGCCTCTGCATGACTCTTCGTATTCGCGTCTAGCCATCATCTCGTAGCCTGATGCCATGTATGGTTCAGCGCTTGCTGCTGCCATGCTCTGATCCAACTGCTGCTGGTGCTGCTGGATAGCCTCTTGCTGGGCGGACTCCTCTTGTTGTCTCTCGTATCTCAGCTTAGCCATGGCTTCCTCCTGTGCGAGACTGGTGGGTGGCCAGTCGTAAAGCTGTCGGGACATGTTGTAGTCTACGCCCGCTGGGTGTCCTTGACGACCTGATGGAGGTGATATGCGCCAGAGCTCGAGGAGACGTAGCCGTTGATCGTCGTCTGCATTCTGGAAGAGATCGATCTGGGAAGGGAACAGAAGAGAAGGATCAATACTGTTCCTCAAAAGTACGGCAGCGAGGTCCGAAGATTCGATGTGTGTCTTCAAGGCTGGCTCGGAGGTACTGCGGGTAGGTACATGATATGAATGAGTGTAGTGTTGAGAAGCGTAGACGATCTGCTTGGGAGCCTCTTCCTGCTGTTGCTGTTGTTGCACTGGTTGTTCCTGTTGCATCTGTGGTTGCATGGGCTGCGGGTTGCCTTGAGACAAGTTCATGTTGGCTGAGAACAGCCGAGTAAGTTCATCTTGCTGCATGTTTGCGTCTTCTGCTGCTTTCCCCTGAACGTTGATGCCCGTAGATATTGTGCCGCACTATGACGTAACGTTAGTGTTTACCAGCGCCGAAGACGAACGAGCTTACATTTGCGCAAGAAATGTTCTGAGAAAAGGCGTAAGGACTGAATGAGATGGGCGTGTCGTGAGTGCAGTCGCAGTGGTGCAGGAGCATGGGCTGCATGTCCTTTAGGGTCTCAACAGCAAGCGTATGAGGGGCAAGTTCTGGAAAACGGAGGTTCAAGTATTGTATTAGGCGGGGAGTCGACAAAGGCGCATACAGTGATGAACTATATCGTTGAAAGACCTTGTAGACTCGAGCTCAGAATTCGCCGTTGGCTAGTATATGGAAACTTGGAATCGTACTTGTCCGCGCTTGCGTTGGGCGCTGACGACAATCGGCGGGGGATGACAAAGGGTGCCTTTGTGAGTCAAGAACAAACGGAAAGGTATTCAAATATACTTGAACCAAGTCAGCAGTGAAGAGGGGGCAAGAAGAAAATTAGCAGCAGCGTGATGGTGGTTGTTTATGTACCGTTGAGTATAGCGTGCTGTCGGGGTCATGCGTGTAGGCGGGATGATTCTGATAATTTTGTCGCCCACATCCAATTAGTGACGAAGCTGAAACCCAACCTGTCCGGCTAGTCTGCTGGCAGCCAATGATGTGTCTTGAGAGCTTGCAAATAGTGGTCGATTTGGGACGACAACTCATCAAATGTGTATGGGCGTATGCACTTTTGGATGTGAGGTGCGGGCAATTGGAGGCCCAGACGGAAGAAGCCGGGACAGCAGGCAGCGAACACACCAGTAGAGCGCCAGCAACGAGGAGTCGGATCGCACCAACAGTCCTGGGCGAAGCAAGGAGGATCGAGAGTTGCACTGCTCGCGAGTTGCTGCTCACGTACGCGGGTTGATGCCTCTAGGTGTCGGCCTTGGCACGCACGCGCGCTAGTGAGCTACCTGGAGCTTGCGCAGATACACCATTGTCTAGAATCATCAACACCGAGACACACGACTGCCAACCCTTGATAATCCCGTAATCGCTTCCCGGGAATCTGCGGTCCATTTGATCGCTCGGAACAAACAAAGCGCCCTTCTCAGTCTCCACACCGCCCACCATGGTAAACACCCCACCGTAACAGCTGAAGCACCCCAGTCGATCTAACCATGGCGTAGACGTCAATAGGCACAGGTTACGATCTGTCCAACTCGGTCTTCTCGCCCGACGGTCGAAACTTCCAGGTCGAATACGCGGTTAAGGCAGTAGAGAATGGTGGCACAGCGGTCGGCATCAAGTGCAAGGATGGCGTCGTACTCGCTCTGGAGAAGCTCGTCAGCAGCAAGTTGCTCAAGCCCGGCGCGAACAAGCGGATAGCAACTGTGGACCGCAACATGGGCATTGTGTCTTCCGGTCTCCTCCCCGATGGTCGCCACTTCGTCTCCCGCGCCCGCGACGAGGCAGCCCAATGGCGGCAGCTTTACAAGGCACCCATCCCCTCCTCGTCTCTCGCCGACCGTATGGGAAGCTATGCCCAAGCGTATACCCTCTACTCGAGTGTCCGTCCTTTCGGTATAACTGCAATCCTTGCAGGGTGGGACTCCGAGGCCGAGCTACCAGTAGATGGTCAAGTTGGTTCAGGGCCTACTGTTGGCTCGGGAGGCAAGAAAGAAGGCGCAAAGCATGGTGGGCCATCGCTTTACATGATTGAGCCCAGCGGTCTATACTGGGTATGGAGACCTTGGTGACCTAAACTTGTCCAACAACTAACGTGCACAGGGCTACTACGGTGCCGCTACAGGCAAGGGCCGCCAGGTCGCCAAGTCAGAGCTCGAGAAACTCAACCTCTCCGAGGGAAATCTATCACTAGAGGAGGGTGTCAAGGAGGCAGCACGCATCATCTACGTCGCACACGATGACAACAAAGACAAGGAGTTTGAGCTTGAGATGACATGGATCAGCAGTCTCGACGGTCCTACCAAGGGCAGGCACGAGGAAGTGCCCAAGGACATCCGGGAAGAAGCTGAGAAGCTGGCAAAGAAGGCGCTGGAAGGAGACGACGATGATGACGAGGAGGAGGAGAAAATGGAAGAGTAGACGACGACTGCATAACACCGCGTAGACGGTCTACATGCATAACGAGCGGCTCTCACTGCCTTTCACGATCAATGAACAACATTTACGAAAGTCAAGCACTAGCACTATCATCTTCTTGTTCGGCCCGCTTCTCAAGCTTGCTTCGTCGCTCCTGCCAATTCTGGATTGACAGTTGACTGCGTCATCGACGATTCCAGATTCGCCATGCAGGTACATCCGCCCCACTAGCGCGTCACCCTGCAATCCGATTTTGAAAACCATTCAACAATTCCATCCATAAGTATCTTACGTCACGCGTCTATCCCACCATCCAAATACACTCTTCTTATCCAATTGTAATATATCATCATGCCGCCAACTCTCATACTCATTCGCCACGCTCAGGCACAACACAATGCCACCAGCGACTGGTCTATCAGGGACCCTCCACTTACTGAGCTGGGCGAGCAGCAATGTCGCGAGCTACATGAGAGTCTGAAAGAGAGCAAGATCGGCAATGAAGTTGAACTCATCGTTGTCAGCGCTCAAAGGCGGACGCTCCAGACTGCCACTATCGGGCTGGACTGGCTTATCAAGAAAGGCACCAAGGGTAAGATCAATGTCACCGAGCAAGACAAGTTATGTATATGTTACTAATACTGATATGCACTGCAGTGATCCCTGACGCGAACTGGCAAGAAAACGCAGACAAGCCGTGTGATACTGGAACACCTATCGACGAAATCTCCAAGGAATTCCCTCAGTACGACTTCTCCGTCGTAGACCCTTCGTTCCCAGACAAGACAACTGGCGGATCCAAGAACCCGTACGCTTTCACCGAAAAGGCTATCCTAGCACGTGGACAGAGGTGTCTCAAGGACCTCTATTCCCGCCCCGAGAAAGTCATTGCTGTTGTCTCGCATTCGGGTTTCCTGCGCACAGGTGTATGCAACCGCATGTTCTTCAACGCCGACTGGCGTGTTTTTGAGTTCGACGACGAGGAGATGAAGAAGAACGCTGGTTTCTTTGTGTTGAAGGAGAGCGAGGAGACGGAGAAGAAGGGTGGCGGTATGGGTCGTAGTGACGTTGGTGTCTTTGGTATCGTACCTGGTGACTTCCCGCCTGAAGTTGAGGAGGAGATTGCTACGAATAAGGCGCAAGTTGATGATGAGGCTACTAAGCAGAACCCGAGTGCCTGAGCTGGGTGATTTGTATTTAGATCTGAGAGTCGTGTTTTGCTGGACTATATGGCAGTGGAAATTTGCGATCACTTAGAGGATAGACATTGCGTAGACCATAGAATTTAGTGAATGTCAATGAAGACTATCAATCTATATCCAGTAATATAGTCTGAGCATATTTGATCCCTCCATATGCATGAGCATGATGCTCTAATACAATACCAAGTGGCACATGGAGTGCCCACATCAGGTCCCTCGGAATATCTGTTTAATCCACCTAACTTTTCTTTGACCGACCTTCTCAACACCCGGTAAGGCCATATTTTCGGGAAACTTATGGACCCGCCCAAGAGGATGGGAGATAGGGTCGGTACTGTGCATGCCTCCCCTCATACGCTCCTCTGAACCCAGACAGGGCCGCTTCTTCTGTCGACCCTGTGATCGCCAGACTGATAGCCTGCCCGAAGAGTAGGTACAACTCCCTTTTTGCCTGGTCCAGTCCGCGGAGAGCAGGATACGACGCATAATTGGCGTAAAGATGCCGAAATTTGACCCTGACGATCAGAAGACCTGGCTGTCGCTGATCAAGCGGTGGTGGCTCCACGGTCCCGCGCGCGGCTTTCTTTGGAGACGCTAGCCGACGAAAATGAAGCAGAGGTGTCATCCATTTCTCTCGCAGGCTGATCTTTCGAGGGCCATGGTGAAGCTCTACACAGACCTCAAGTTCGCGTAAGCCAGTAAGCTGTTTCGAGGCGGCTTCGCAAGCTCGCTGCCTGAAAGTGAACATGGCGTTAGTTATTTCTGCGTGTAGCATACCGGACAACGTCAAAGTCCGTCACTATCGCAACCATACTCACCAACTTTGATGATGTTTCTCTTGCCAAACCACGTCCACGGTCTTGTTTGGATTTCCATAAGTGCTGTAGTGTAGATGCAACCTGGTGATGCTTCCCAAGTGAATGGACGAGGCATATTTGAAGAAGTTTGTCATCCGCTTTGGCGCATCGAAGACGAAAGTCGTGTTTTGGTAGAGCAACTTCACTGTCTCTGCGTAGACTTGCTTGCAAACAAGACTTAGCGCACATAGCGAGCCTGGCCAGTTCGTTCGCAGGCCCTGAACAGCTTTGTATTTGCCAAGTGATCTCGAGAAGCGAATCACAACAGGAGGAGTCGCGTTCATCTCAGGATCAGGCGCAGGAGTCGTGCTATTTGTAGCGATTACATTTGATGACAACTTGACAGTCTGTGGCTTCCGCTGCGTGAATTTGGATCCTTTGCTGGCGATCTCACAGCGACGCTCCGAGTCGAAGTAGTAACCGTATATTTGGTTTCTGATCTCACCGGGTAAGGCGAGGAAGCCGCGCATCTTCTTGGGCGGAGACCCTCTCGGCTTGTGAGCGCGGGAGAAGAGACTGGTACCAGTCATGACCGCCGGGCTGACAAGCTTGAAAGCTTGTAAGACAATGTGTTGCTGTGCTAGTGAATTAGCCGGAAATATTTGTTAGCAAGTATCAAGATGCCACCGAGCTGGTGAAAGTCTGTGTCTGTATTGGAACCATGGAACATTGGAGGTGGAGCCTGGGTGCCTGGGCCCTGATATCGTACGTGGACGCTAGTCGCGTTTGGGCTAGTGATCAGAGCAACTGCGGGCAGCCACGACAGTCGCCCCTGCTGCATACCGCCATGTTAACCATCATGTCTTCGCTAATCTCGCGCCAACGTATCCTCCTTCGCCAGCCTCAATTTCTTGCAGCTCGCGCCTTCTCCTCCTCCAGGATAAACGCATCTCGCCTCCGTCAACCCGGCGAACCAACCGGCCCGAACGAAGTGAGTAGAGATGATACAAAATACATGCGACGCATACACTGACCTCTTATCTCAACCTCTGCAGCCTCCGACACACATCCGAACACCTCCCTCGAAATCCCCACTCAAAGTCTGGCCCATCCTCGCGATATTGGGACTAGGCACATACCTGTTCAACGCGATAATTGATCAGCGAAAAGGCGAGGGATACCAGCCCAAAGGACCTATTCAAGGCCATTCACCCAGCGGCAAAGGACAAGTGAAGCCTTCACATCCCCACTAGAAAGATGCCTGCCATTGAAAAGACTGCCGCGGGCTCGCGCGAGTCTCCACGCTGGTCCAGCGACGAAGTGACCGTCCTTTTCGTCCTTGGTGGCCCCGGTGCCGGAAAGGGTACGCAATGTACGAAGCTCGTCAGTGACTATGGCTTCAAGCATCTCTCTGCTGGTGATCTGCTGCGCGAAGAGCAGAACCGCGAGGGCAGCGAGTTCGGCGAGATGATCAAGACGTACATCAAGGAAGGCACTATTGTGCCCATGGAGGTTACCGTTCAGCTGTTGGAGAACGCAATGGAGGCCAGCATGGAGAGCGGAGAGAACCACGGAAAACTGTTCCTGATTGACGGTATGTTGACCCATGCAGCTACTTTCCAGTCCATGGTCTAATATGATAGGCTTCCCGCGCAAACTCGACCAGGCCCACGCTTTCGAGCGCTCCGTCTGCCCTTCCAAGTTCACCATCTTCTTCGAGTGCTCCGAAGCTGTCATGGAGAAGCGACTCCTCGTCCGCGGCGAGACATCGGGACGCGCTGACGACAACCTCGAGAGTATTAAGAAGCGCTTCAGGACATTCGTGGAGACAAGCATGCCCGTGGTCAATGAATTTGAATCGCAGGATAGGGTTGTCAAGATCAACGCAGAGCAGGAGCCTGACCAGGTCTACCGGGACGTTGTGGAGAAGCTCAAGGAGCGTGGCGTCAAGCCCATCAACATCACCTTTGTGCAGACACAGGCTTCATAGTCTATGGGGAGACGCCCAAGAATCAATATATCTGAATTGCATTGTCTATCATGCAGCTCGAGGGCTGCTATTCATGAACCTGAAAAGCCTCATAATGCATCCGTCCCAAGCCGACCCCTTTTGAAAGAAAGAAACGTGCACCAAGACGACGTAACCACTTAGTCCATATCGTCATCAATGGCCCTCTGCTGCTTCCTCTGTCCGCCCCTTCCGCCGAACCGCGACGCCATATCGGCCTTCTGGTCGGCCTTGTTTGCTTCCTCCTCCTTCTCCTGCGCGAACCTCTGCTTCTCCTGCTGGATGACCTGCAGAACACCCTGCAGACTGTTTCGCCACAAATCTAACCTTGAAGCTACCTCTCTCCACTGGTTGTCGCCAAAGACACGGTATGTTGAGCGGTGGATCAGGAAGGTCTGGTTGAGCTGGCTGAGCTTGCCCTCGACGAGACCAGCGCGGATCACGTCAATGACCCACATCTCGACGTCTTCGGATGGTACTTGTAGTGCCTTTGCGATCCTCTCGTAAGGTAGCGATCTGGCTTGACCCGCTGAAGCAGCCATGGACGCAAGGGTGAGGAGGCGCATCTTGCGGTTCAAGGCACCGGCGTCAAGGCCAGACTCCTCAACCCAGCCATCGTGTTCGTCCTTGAAGTCGTTGTAGTCATCCAGGAGATCGGAGTTGAAGATCTCAAGGAGCTGGAAGTATATGGGGTCGGAGTTACGGAGGGCCTGGATCGAGTCGAGATCGGTGAGATCTTGGAAATCGAAGTGGGTCGGGTGTGTGAGGGCCGACTTGAGGGCGCGAAGAGAGAGCTCGCGAGCCTCTGGGGACGAAGCCTGCTCTGAAGGGAATGTCCTGAGTGCGCGTAGCAGATATGTGTATGCCTGCTCCTCCTCGCCTGCGTCCGATGCGACGTCGCTCACAGCAAGGTAGAGCTTGCGCGAATCCTCCTCCCCGGTCTTCCATGCGGCTATCCAGCTGTCGAGCTGCTTGAGTTGTGGTCGCAGTGTCTCGAAGTTTGATGTGGCGCGAATGACACGGAGAATGGCAAGGAGCACGTGGTAGCGCGTCTCGCTGTCTGGCTGGGTGGTGTTGAAGATGGTGCTGAGGATGGAGAGCGCAAGACCACCACCGTTCAGAGGCGACGAGGAGATGGGTGTGCTCAGGTTCTGGCACATCTTGGGGATGAAGATGGAGACATTTGGCGACTGGTTTACGAGGTGGATGAGCAGGTTGTAGGCCGCAATAAACTCTGCGCACTCATTGTTAGCCCGGTGTTTTCTCCATCAGAAGGACCCCTCGAGTCATTGCTGGAGCCGTACCCTTCTCGGGCGCCTGGTTCAGCGCCTGGCTGCCGACGACGAGCTTCTTGAGCACATCATCCTTCTTGTTCTCCTTGAGCAGGTCCGCGCTCTCGCCCTGGAGGTTGGCGCTCTCATCGCCCTGGGATTTTTTGAGGCTGTCGATGTATTGTGCGAACTCGTCGGTAAGCTCCTCAAAGGTGCCCTCGATGAGCAGCGTGGTCTTGGCGCCCGGCATGGTGAGAATAGCAGAGACTGGTATCGGGGCAGTGTGTAGGCGGCGGGCGCAGGGGCGGGGCTGGTGGATTGTCGACAATGGGAGCGGCGTTGGTGGGATGCCAAGATTGGAGTTGGATTTTTGGGAAGTCGCTATCGATAGCCGCACAGACAAACAACACCAACAGCCAGAACCACTTGCTACCTTGACGATGTCACCTTACTTGAGTTTACCGTGTACAATTTCAAGTTCTTGGAAGCCTCACAAAGTTCAGTTCGATATCGGTCAGCGTCCTCAAGGAAGCAGTGCCTTGTCCTGAACCGTGTCATCATCAAAGCCCGACCGCTCGAAGGAAAGCACTTACCATCATACAACGCAATCTCATACACACCACCTTCAGCTTCCGGGTGCACAGCTACGAAAGACCTTTCCGTTAGCGCACTTCCATCTCTAACATCAAGGACGTTGTTATCCAAGATGAAGACCCCCCACTCTGCCAATTCTCCCTCAAGCACGTCGGTCGAACCCGGACGCAGTACATCGCTCATGTATAGGAGTTCGCTAGACTGATTCCGACTATGCAACACCACCTGCCGATCCCCATCCTCGGCCACATGAAGCTCCCACGTGTTCGTTGCATTGTACTTCACGAGATAGAACTTGCTAGCTGCATCCTGGCTGTCGCCGAGCACGTAGGTGCGTATGTCCAAAGAACTGACTGGCAGAGATACCCATTGGCTGTCCAGGGACGGATCGTCGCTGTGTCTGATAATCAGCGACCCAGTATAGAAGATTTCAAAGGACTAGACGTACGATGAGGACCGCAGCTGATATAATTGGGTACCCGGAGCTGGGACATCAAGTTGGGCTCGTCTATCATGTGAGCACGCCAAAGCCATGTCAGACAAGCCTATAGCAAGAGCGACGAAGGACTTCATCCCAAGATTCAGCACTGGAAAATTGCTTGCGACGGATAGAAAGACACTCAAGTCAAGTGCCGATAACACGTATGTATAGTTTGCGGGGGCGACAGGGGTCGGAATGAAGGCCCCTTCAGCCTGCAACATATCAGCTTCGCTTAGATTCAAGCCTCATCTATAAACATTCTGCCTTTCTAAATTTCTCTTGGCCTGTACTCAACGTGTTGCAGAGCACCCGCATCTCGATAGCATGGCTGTAGTGGAGGTGCCAGACCACATCATGTCACAGTGGGGCCTTTATGATGTTGTTCGTCGACTGCTCTCAGAAAATCACCATCTGAGACCCTGATATCTATCACTCCTACTAAAATCGTGTCATAATGAAGTTCACAACAATTGTATCTTCGTTGGTCCTCGCTGCATCGGCCACCGCGCAGACGACGCCCTCGGGTTTCACTCCTGCCACCAATGCAACGCTGGATGTCTACTATGGGACCCAGTACATCAGTCCCGGTCTCGTTGTTAAGAAATCAAGTACAAACTCGATGTGCGAAGAAAGATGTGCCATACTGATGTGAAACAGCAACGGCAAAGGCCCCTGTCATTGGTCTCACCAACACAACACTTAGCGGAAAGTACCTGCTTGCAATGATCGGTATTCTCCCTTTTCACCATCAAAAACGCACCACACTGACACTGCTCAGACATCGACGTTACCCAAAACGGCCGTGCATCAACCGTCCTGCATGCCCTTCTGCAGGATTACACGCCGTCCGGCACCAAGCAGAACGGCACATCAGTCCTCACTACGACAGCCACAACACCTTCGTCGTACTTTGGTCCTGCACCACCCGCTGGCGCGCCTCCCACTCATCGTTACGTATTCTTGCTGCATGAGCAGCCGGCAAACTTTGCGGTCCCGGCTGCGCATCAACAGGCTGTTAGCAGCCGGTTCGGCATTGACTGGCCAAAGTTCATTGTGGATGCTGGGCTCAAAGCCCCGATTGCTGGAAACTACTTGCAAGTGAAGAGTGGAGATAACACGAAGAGGTGGGAAGCGTAGGAAGAAGCTTATTCTTCGTTTTGAAGCGCAGCCAATTCGATTCAAAATGTACCTCTGCGTTCAATAGTCTGCAAATGCAATTCCAAGTCCCCAACCCCC